AGGTAGATGTGGGAGGAAAACCTTTGGAACAGATCATGGAGTTCATGAGCAGTGCTGAGAGCTGGTGTTCAGCTAAAAGCCCTACTCCTGCTTTGGGAATGCTGTGTTGCTGGCCCTGAGGAAAGGAGCAAATTTAGGGAGCTTTTATGGAAGGGCTGCACTATGTAGCTCTAGATGTTGTAAACATTTGCCATAGAAACTGGGTTGCAATGTGTTTCCTCTGATGAGTTGGCTTGAACAAAGCAGCCAGACAGTGAAAAACTCCTTATGGAGAATAACATGATGTTGGTCGTAGGACTTCAGTTAATTTAAAAAGTGTACTATAAATTAAGTGCTTATAGTTTTGAAGTGATGTGTAGTGCAATTCAAATGTTCAGTGCTTTAAACTTACTGAGCTTTAATTAACCACTGCAATCATTAAAAAGAAAAAAAAAAGATAAAAAAGAAAAGGAAAATGGTATTTATTTCATGGGAGAAAATAGTTGAATGTGTTTATATGAATCATTTAATATCTGTCAACAAACGATAACCAGATCTCAGAAGCAAAAATCATCTAATTGGCCCTTAGCATTTAGAAGCAGTTGAATGATTGGGAGGATTCTGTTATATAAACATTGTCACACAGTATCTTATCTTAATAACTAAATTATATAGTATTTATATGACAAATCATATTGAAAGCAACATGCATAAACATTTATTATTCAGAACATGAGGTGATATGAGACAGCAACTAATCCCCACCATAAGCAGTGCTTTTTGTACAGTTATTCTGATAAACTGAAGCAGTCAGGCTAAATTGCCTCTACAAGCCAACTGGCACCTCTGGAGTTGTCCTGATGTACCACAAGAGAGAGTTTCTTCAATGATTTCATTACATCTAAATTAATTTTGCACCACATTTTGTATTCTATTATGCTCAGAATTATGCAAAGACAGTGTTTACTACCTCATGTAAGGTTACCTTTCAACAATAATGATAAAATTTATGTTGGAGGGCCAGCACATATTATAGCTTTCTCCTAAAAATCTTGCTACGATTTCTTTGCAGGATGCTGTAAAATCAATAAAATACCATTATCATAATGCAACAATTTTCTGTGCATTCTTCCTGTGGCTGGTTGTCTCAGTTTCCTGTTAAGAGTGTATCCTCCTCCTCCTCTGCTTCACTGCTGCTGTGGCCACATTTTTCTGTGCTCTAATATGGGCAAGATGAAATGTCGTCCCTAAGTACAAATCTTCCTCTGTCATCTGTAATGGAGCCTAAATAATTTGTCTGGGTTATGTCATCATCTTGGCTAACTCCAAGGTAACTTGAGTATATATAGGAGAAGGTCATCTAGCATTTGATATGATTGTCTCAGGGTTTTCTCACACCTGCCAGAGAGTTTTATTCGAGATACTAAGGTTGCCTTCAGTACTGATTTTTCTTTTTCTTTTATATCATTCTTTGTTTTGCTTCCTTTCTTCCTCTTCTATATGCAGATGCAGATACTCATCTATAAAAATACAAGCCCCATACAGAAAACTTATTTTCCTTCAATATTTGGGGATGTGGGGCAGAGACACTGGCATAATGCTGGCATAAATCAGTTCAGTTCTGGGTTAAGGTGCCATGATGGAAGGTTTCTCATGAGCTCAGCTGATCATGAGAGACTGTGCCATAAAAGCAACAGAAATACTAGAAGTGCTAAAATGAGAGGGATGGATATAGCAGCATGTTTCACTTCTCCACTGCTGGACAGTTTGTGCCAATGTCAGTGCAGAGCTTCAACAGTTCTGGATTTTCTGCTGCAGCTAATGCTAAGAAGATGCAGTAAAATGAGAAAATTTGAAGCATGCTGCTGCTGTTTTCAAAATAAAGATTTTACTAAAAATGCATCATACGTATAAAATCCCACAATGTTCCTGAATTCCACAATTCCTGAAAAAAAAATCTATAGCATTTCCTTCTCAAATCATTGTAAACCAAACCAAAAACATTCTCTAATGAAGAAAACCAGGCCAGATGCAATGCTGTTGCAATATGCAGGAAATTCAGTGAGGTATCTTTATCCCTTTTTCACTCAGTCAGTACTGCCTGAATCCAAAAGAAATGTCTTGAAATGAATGTTTGCCATTGCCTCCCGAACCCCACCAGACACTTGATATGCAGTTTGTAACTTTCTAGAGCAGAAGGGATAAAATCAAAACTGAAGAGAGTCATGAATCTTAATTGATTTTTTTTAATAGCGTAATTTTCAACAGTGATTATTCCATTCTTTCAAATTAATTTTAATATAGCCCAGCTTATGCTTCTACTTTAACCCACTTTATATTTTGAGTGTATTTGTGATTTGACAGAGATATGGGCATGGGGGGTTGGATTTTTTTTCCCTATTAGCTTTTTAATTGTTTGATTTCTGCACCAATCAATAAATGTGTCAAAGTTAGTATTATGCTAATATAGAACGCTGTTGTTTTGTGTTTTTTTAATCTGGGTTGTTATAATAATAAGGAAAATATTAAAAGAGAAAAGATAATGTTAAAGAAGAAAAGATAAAACAAAAGAGGTTTCAAAGGAATTTGAAATATTTTTCCTGCTGATTGAATTTTGAGCATTGTTTAACTGAGTTATAGTAATTGTATCTTTCAGACAAGAGTGTGATATGGAGCATTGCTGAGGGAATGAACTCCTAGTGCGACTGCCATGGAGAGCTGACAACTTCTTTCCAATCTTTCTAACAGCATCTTTAGTAGTAGTGTTATATACTTATTTCTGAATATATACCATATATTTCAAAAGTATTACCTTCTTGAAACATTTTCCTATCAGCAGGCAATACAGACAGAGAGCAGCAGCATTCCTGTGATGGGTCTGGCTGCATTCCAACAGGTCTGTATCATTTCACATATGAGTATATGAAATAATTTTTAAAAAGTGCATATTTGAGGTAAGATTCAGCAGATCATAAACCAAATAAAATGGCAGGGAGGGTTGGAATGAGATTATGTTTAAGATCCCTTCCAAGCCAAGCCATTCTATGGTTCTGTGATATATTATTCTGCTCCCTGTAGGCCAGCAGCCACCTTCCTGGGAACCTACCGGCTCTCACCCTCCTCTCACCTCTCCTCTCCTCCATTTGTGTTTCTCATCACATTTTTTTCTGTGTGTTTTTCCTCCTAACTTGGATGATTTCACCTCCTTGTTTTAAGCTGCAGCTATAATCAAATCAGAAACTTGCTCTGTGTTCTTTCTCTCCAATGTACTTTCATTAAAACCACAGCACATGGAGCTTACTCTGGGACAGAACAAGAAAGGATCTGTAAAGTGTCCTTATTTCAAGGTTTGCTTTACCTTGGGAAATGCATTTTGTCTAATCTGTTGCTCTATAACCACCTCATGATTCAGAGTTTTCCCCATTGTCTTCTAACTTCTCTAAACATTGCTGCTGTCTCAGTCTGAGCAGATCTCCACAGAAATGAAAGTGACTGCTCAGTTATTCCCCACATGTCATTAATTGTAGATATTCTAAACCTTGGTCTATTGTAATATACCTGAGCACTTTCACCTGTTTTCCTGTTTATTGCAGCTTAATTAGTACATTGTTAAAAATCAGACAATTATCACACAACTTCATTTCATTTTTTAGATATTGGGAAAGCTTGCAACAAAATTAAGCTAAAATTAGATTTTAGTAACTCAATTTTGCTTCTAGTCATTTGGGAGGCTTCTTTTCTTTTTTTTTTTTTTTTTTTTTTTTTTTTTTTTTTTTTTTTTTTTTTTTTTTTTTTTTTTAATAATTCATTAAGAATTAAATTATGCTTATTTGTTCACAACATCCCTCTGGCCTTTAATATCTTGAAATATATTAATTGTGCCCTCACCTCCAGAGAATGAGCCGTTGTTTTATGTGAGTTTCTCCTGCTATTCTCCCTGGTTAGATAATGATCACTTTTTTCTGCCCATTTTTCTCTCAGTACCAGTCAAGGACGCTGAATTTCGTTTTTGGAGAAGGGACTTGTGCTAAATTACTATCTCAGCAACAGAATGTGCACAGCAGAAACTGACAAATCATGGATGGATTTGGATGAAAAAGGCATTCAAGCTTTGGCTCAGTGGTTTTCCTTTTAATGAAAACAGTTCTCAGATATTTAAAACCAGTATGTCAAAGGCTTTTGGCCTATGCTTCAGTTTATTAGCTATTTAGGAAATTTGCATAAAGGCATATGGTCAGACTTTAAAACAGGTTGAGGTTAAAACTGTTTTATAGAAGTCCTTGTGATTCAATTGTTGAGTTTTGCGGGGGGGTTTGTTTCTCTTTTTCTTTTTAACAGACAGCACATTTTATCAGATATTGCTCAGAGATTGAGAAAGATGTTCAGGAACAAAAAATACGTGCATGCACTCCTTCCTATTTTCCTAGAATTACTTTATCATCTTGTTATAGTCAGAGCTATGAAAATATATCGTTCCTCACAATAGATATTCTTGATTTTGGTTGGGTTTTTTTTTTCAGTTTTATTCTCCTGAATGCCTTGCCTTGCCCTCTATCTTCTTGTTTGCATTTTCTTTAAATCAGCTTCATTCCTCCTATGGCCTTGTGGAAAGCACTCTTTTTCCTATACTAAGATATGCTTTTAGCCTCTCAGTGCAAGCTCTCATATTAATTTGCACAGAGGTGCTGACACTCTTTTAATACTGACCAGTCATGAAATGGTCAACATCCAGTCACAGGGATGCTCTAACACTTGTGTCCATCCTCACATATTCCCTGGGAAAAAATAAAAATTTCCTTATTATCCTTTTGGATGATGGAAAAGGGTTGTTAAACTGGCCTTGCTCCTGAGACAGAGACATGAACTAGATCTCCCTGTGCCCAGTTTCCTGTGGGATTCTTAGGGCAGAAGTGCCAGTTGAGGACCAGCTTGGAATTTTGCTTCTTCTGGAGTTTTCCAGGGAGCCCATCCATCCCAGCTGCTCTGTTTCATCTCCCACTCAGCCCGGCCAGTTTAATGTGACACGTGCTGCTGCCAGCAGGTTTTCTCTTAAGAAACTGGCACTATATCAGCTGTGAATTTGTTTCTCCAGTTGTGCTGAAAGATCAATAAATTACAGTGGAGGCAGATGAGAGTCAGTCATTTCTTAGACTGGCCTGGCTGTTTCTTCTGTCGTGTAATAAAACTTTGATTAGGATGAATTCCAGTTGTAAATTTTCCATGGCCTATGCAAAACAAAGAAGAAAAACGGAGCTTTTTAAAAATACATATTTTCTAAAAGTAGGCATGTTTTAGTTTGGTAAGAACTGAAACAGATCTGGCACCTTCTCCTTAACTTCTTTCATTATTATGCCTATACTTGAAATAATTGATGGCTTGTTTACCTGTTATTCCTGACCTCCAAGGTAAACTACAAAAAAGCTGCTCAGATTAAAAAATTCTACTGTGTCAGACACATTTAAAACACAAGAAAATACTTAGATACACCCAGTTTCTGATGTAGATTTTCAGACTTAAAGCAGTTATTCAGCAAAGGAGAAGCATTTCTATGTACTACAGAGAGAAATTTTATAAAGAGTTTGAGTTAGCAAAGCTGGTATAATTCTCAGCATGACATTTATGTGATCAAAATTTGTTGTACAAGAAGTAACACAGCAGCAAAAATAAACTTAGGGCTATATGCAAATGCTTTATTTTCATATATACTGTCCAACATTTTTTCCCAGGACCAACCAGAAATCTTCCACCACTAACCCCTACATTCTGCTTTTTTTCCCTAACACCTCCCCTTCCACCACATACCCCCGTCTTGCTTTTCTCCTGTATTAACTCCTGCAAGCAATTCTTCCTTTTAGCTTTATTGACAAGCACTCACCAGCTCTCTCTTGGAAGGAGAAGCTGCACAGGCTGGGAGGGAGAAGTGCAGGTAGTTTAGTGTCAATTCACAGAATGAGTTATAATTGAAGTGCTACTGGCCGATTGCTATTTGGCTTTTACAGAAGGTAAGGGTCAGTTTGATTGCTGCAGGTGTGCCAGCTGGAAAAAAAAAAAAAAAAAACACTAAGAAAATTAATTAATTAATTAATTAATTATGTCTGTAAGGTTGTTTCAGAATGTTAAACTCTAAGATTTGAAATTTTTGCTGTAGGCACAGATGGAAACAATGCTGTCACTGCATTGGCAGTGGCACTGGTTGCCATTGGTAACAGATTGAGCCCAGTAATCAGACTGGACTACTAATAACTGCAAGTACACTTTGCCTAACCAGTACTGGCAGGAGGCTTTCCTTACAGTGATAAATGCACAAGCTGTGACTTGCATTTCATTTCCAGCCTTGGCAAGCTAAAAGAGTCTGTTAATGAATGAAGACATCTTTAAACGTGTGGTTGTACGCCAACAGCAGTTGGTAATCCTCCATATCCAGTTTATTTCATCCCATTTACTATTCCACTTGTAATCAAGCAATAAATAAACTACTGATGCTTGGCCAGCAATACCCACATGACCTTAAAAATGTTTGAAATCTGAAAAAAGCAAAATATGCTTTTCGCTAATACTGCTTTCATTTTCAGTTCAACGTGCAGATAAACAGTGTGCTTCAAAGTCATTCTGAAAATAAACTGCAGCAAACTCAGTCAAAACTTTTATTTATTATTAAACATGATGAACTGAAAAAAAAGCAAAAAAATGTATTTTGGAAATGGCAAATAAAACTTACATTCAGAATGAGATATTTCAGATACATCATATAACAGAGTATATAAAACTATATAACAAAATTTCTGTAATCCCCTAAGGCTTATTTATTGTGATATTGACACTAAAGAAGCTGAATTTACAGAAATCTGGAAACCTTTGGTTGGTTGTATAATTCTCAGTATTTAAGGTAAAACTGTTTCTCTATTTTTCTTTTTTTTTTTCTTTTGTGTTAAGGAGAAAGCTAATCATATTAAATAAAGATTTACTAAATTTAAGTACTTACCCCTGTGAGTCACTCTCTGTTTGATACATTTTGTCTTTTCCTTCAGCATGTATAGTCCCTAAAGGCAAAAATAAAAGTATTTTCCTATTCCTATTTTTGCCTTGGAAGAACTGGCTTTCTGCCATTCATTTAAAACTTGTCTGTTTTTTGACTAAGAAAAATAATTTAGCAATTATTACTGCTGCTTTTCATCTTACATCACAATTCAATTTCACAACCCTTCTTATGACTTCATTATTATTTCTCCCCATTTTATAATTCAATTAAATAGTGAACAGTCAAGAATTAGTGTTTTTCTAGCTCTTTATGATCTTTTTCGAAACTACTTTGAAACTACAAACTCATTGCTGTCAAATAACTGTCTTAAGAGATGCTGCAAAATTAATTTTGCATTTACATTGCAGTCAATAGATAAATTCAAATGTTTGAAGTACCTAAAAATGCTACAGAAAACCATATGGAACATGAAGAGATCTCTTTCAACACACAGCTAATAACTAGAAATGAGAAAACTTCCCCACATCTTCAAACTTCAGCAAAAGAGAAGAATTAAATGGCAAATCAACACTCAGTCCTTAAAAATCTGAACTGCAGGGAACATTCAGGCTGGCAGGTTTGTTTTTTTGGAAGCATATTTTAATCTTTTTGATATAAACACAATCTATGCTAAGAATTTTAAAAACATTTTTACCATAACAGACCACTTAGAGATCATCTAATTCATGAACATTGTGCACAGTGCACACAACAGATAGGAGGTTGATGTATATTTTTGCAAGCTGTTTGAAGGAAATCACCAGAAGCATGGGAAATTGAGCTAAAAATAAAAGTTAGTGATTTAAAACACAAAATGTAGTTTATGCAAGCCCCAAATGAACTATTTTTTGGTGCAGTAAGCTCGGAAAAAATCTGTTAGCTTCTTTTTTTTTTTTATGAACTTCAGCAAATCTGAATAGATTTCTTACCTGCTAGGTGTTTTTTCTCCTCTCTGCAGGCACATAGCAAGTATTAGTTTTTTTACAATTCTTTTCCAGACAGAAAGAATCAGTAAAATGGTTTATTTCCCTCACTTGCCATCAAAATTTGCAAATTTTTTCACAAAAGTACTTAAATATTTTCTGTGGGTGAATTGATGTATAAACTACTACTTCATCTACCAGATTTTAATAGAACGAGGATCCTCAAAACTAATTCTGCCATGGAAAAGATTTCTGATCAATCCTCACAATTAATTTTTTTTCCATTGGAAATTTTAGCTTAATAAGGCACTGTTTTTGTACCCAGCTGAAGAATAAGGCTCACTGCTGAAGTGAGACACTCTCGTAATTGTACCCCCCACTACAGGCACTGACATTAATGTTGGTTTGTTCAGGATTGTTGAGGGGACTTTCTGTAAACATATATGAAACAGAAAGGAAATTTGAGATTTTTGTCTTGTTTTTTTTTGTTTTGTTTGGGTTTTTTTTGTTTGTTTGTGGGGTTTTTTTTGTTTGTTTGTTTTGTTTTGGTTTAGTTTCTTTGGGTTTTTTTTTGTTGTTTTTTTTTTAATTATATCCAGATTCTTTTGTGTTTATGATACTTAGTGAATCTCTTGATTAATTGCAGTGCTGACAGAGTCTGCTGCATTCAGTGACCCTTTATGTTTTGATCCAGATTTCTAGGGGTACTGAAGAGATACTCATGGAGAGAGACAGAGAAGGAGAAAGACAGAGGGAGAGGGAGAACTTAATAAGAGGTAAAATATTAACTCATTCAAGCCAATAGGAATAAAAATAATCACATTTTGAAAATGTATGAGTTCAAGTTGGCTTCCAAGGAAATGTGTATACCTCTCATTTTTTTAGTGTACAACTCTGCCTGTGGCAGTATAAATACATTTTTGTTCTACAAAAGAGAAAGTTTGGAATTTGTTGCTATGTAGCTTCTGCAACTTACTGATAAAAAGCTGTCCATCAAAAGGGTTGATGACATGGACATATCATCTCACTGGTGAGCTATTAACAACACAGATTGATTACATGAAGGGTGTAGAAAGATAGCTTATCTTTAAGCTGTAGAATTTTATGTGACTGAAAAAAAGAGGGGAATTTAAAAAAAGTCTTTTGCTAGGCTTGAAATGGATCACTCACCCCAGGTTTTTTTTTGTTTTTTTTTTTTAATGTGGGCTTGCAGTGTTGACCTCAGTTGAATCAGTTCATCTTTCTGAAACTGTCTGAACAAAAGGAAGAGAATAATAACACATATTTAATGTAAATTTTAAGGACTTTAGGATTTAAAATTTAGGATGTGGCTTTTATTCTAGCAGTGACATCAGGTATTTGTGGCCTTCTGGAGAGAAAGTGTATTATGAAGTCAACATTCCTCAACATACATATTTCCTTTTAAGATTAACTCTTTCCCATGATCAGTAACAGCCTAGAATGTTGCTCTTAAAATGTACAGTGAGCGATGAAACCTCAACTAATCCATCAGTTAAGAATGAGCTTTTCACATTGAATTATTCTATTGATTTCTCTTTCTGAAAATTTACTAGCTCCTTTAGTATATGCTGTATATGCACACTCCAAAATCAAATTTGGCAGGTTTCATCAAGCAACTATAAGTGAAAGAGGCAAAGTGAAATCAACTTAATCTCCTCCATTCTTCTTTCTCACCCACATATGCCTTTGTAGTAGAAATATTCTGTAGGTGCCCTTTAAAATGCAAAAAGCTTTGACAAAAGAAAAGCTTTGTACCATGGCTTAAATTTAGATTGTAAAGCAAGAAAACCTACAAATTGTATGGGGTATTTATTTACTAGGAAAAACAGTTTTAGTGGGAGTGAAGGAATTTTCAGTTATCTCAAAGAAATCATTAAACATCAATCTTCAAAAAGATTTTTTCACATCATTAATAACTGCTATTATTGGGAGCTGCCAGAATGTTTTCTCTGATAAATCTTCTTTTCAGAGATCTGACTATAAATGGGACCCCAAAATCTATTTGCTGACTGAGTGATAAAAGTATTTAGTAGCAACACAATCACAATGTGAGAATTTACCTCAAAGTGAAATAATTTTTATTTAGCAAAATGCTTGCCATTATTTCTATTTTATCTTTCACTTGGTATATGAACCAAAAAGAAGAAACCAGCTGAGTGTTTAAATATTTAAAAAAGCAAAGAGCTAGAATACCCAAGCTATCTATAAAAGTATGATGATTTTTCAAAAGCAAAAAGTAATATCTAGGTTAGAACATGGGGCAAAGTTATTGAGAAACAGTTATTGTGATTTCTATTTTCTATGAATCTTGGCTGTGAAAGCATTTTAGACCTTTTTCTAATTAACCTTTGTTTTTTTTTTAATCTTAGCTGCTAAACAATTTCAAATAAAGATAATTCACCCCTGAAAAAAGAAAAAAAAAGAAAATAATAGACTCATGTTGAAGTTAAACCTTATACCAAATCTAATTTTTAATTCCTCAGGGTGTTTATGTCCAGTCAAGCAGACTTTGCTAGCAGAATTCAATAATTTACTGAATTTCTCTTGCAGTGTATCTATCAGGGGAGAATACTGCTATCCTGGCATGTAAGAGAGACCATGGTGTATGTAGGTTTTGGCTCCAGTAAAGGTTCACACGTGCTTAAACCTTAGACAAAACAATGATTTTCTGTTGTGTAGCTACCAAATCAAATGTCTATCCTTGCTTTGGCTTGGAGGTTTCATACACATCGCAGGAGAACAATTGAATTTCTAACAAATAACAAATAATAAAAAACAATAAAAAAATATATTTCTAAATACATTTTTTTCTATCAGTGGGATTATAGCAGGATTCACAGAATTTCAGTGCATATGCTTAAGGAGTGCAAAAATGTGCTTCAAATATGCATCGTGTCAGAGGCAGGCCCCTCTCCCTAGTTAGGATTCACAGGAGCAGAAGCAAGGTGACTTAACTTACCTGGACTATTTTTACTCTCACACAGGCTGACCCATTTACAAGTAGACAGCTTTCTAGTTAATTTAATTCCAAGCCTGTGCCCCAAGCCTGAGTGTGAGAGACCTGGGGTTCACTCTCTTCTCTGCTTGAGAAGATCTGAATTCTTACCTTCCAGGAGAATATCCCATAAGATATTCATGAGGGAAGAAAATATTTTCCCCCTCCTATTTCAGCCTGAAAGCTGTTCCACTTTGCAATAACTAATTAAATATTCAGTGCACCAAAAGAACCACTAAAGTTGAGAGCAATTCCTTAGCCAAGGGCTATGGGTACCTCCCTTAAGATGAAGAGGCACAAATCCAGTTCTTGCTCCACTGAAAACCTTGACATGGTAATCAAGGAAACAAGAGCTGCAATAGCTGCTCTCAAGAGAGTGAACTGCTCTACACAAAGCGAAGGAAATAGGACACATCCTCTTCCCTTAGACACGAGAGTATTTATTTTAGAGATGCACATGAAATGTTTCGTTGAGCCTCTTCGCATAAAACTAAAAACTGACAGTGGGACTCCGACAAATCAACTCCAAATCAATAAAACAACCACAGAGCAGTGCCACCATGAGCTTCCTATCAATGTACTCTGAGCTGGAAAAACATGTGGGAAGAGCATATTTAGCCATTCACATAGAAGAATGGGCTTGCGGAGTAAAAATGGTTTTATAATTCAGAAAATTAATTGTTTTGCTATTTAAATAAATTACTGACGGGGTTGGAGTTTGCAAATCTTAAGGGTTATTGTTTGCTTAGAGCAAAGTAACATTAAAAATGTTTAATTCTTTTATTCTATAGTATTCATAATTGAGTGGTGATAATTAACATAGAAATATGCCTTTCCTTAAAAGCCTGAAATAATAAAATTATTTGTTAATTGGTTAACTATAGTAGTGATTAATAATAAATAAAGGCAATAACATTTCTTTCCTAGGGTTATCATATGTGTCCTTTTAGCAATTTGTAATGGACCTCTGGGTTACTTGTTCTAATTAGTGGATTGGGACAGCCTTGTTAACCATGTACTAAAGAAAACCAATCTGGCAATATGTGTTTTGTACAAAGATATTCTGACAATATCTTTGTACCA